CAACTGAATTTGGAGGTTTTATTTTTAAATTCTAAACTCCTAGTATTCTATGGAGAGTGTGGCATAAAGGAAAAGGAGCCTCAACTCTAGCAGGGGTGGGAAGCAGCAATAGATGGCTAATGCTTCCTTGAGAGTTGGGTAGCATAGTAGCCAAAATATTCATCCTGAACAGCCTCCACTGACAGAATTCCTGGTAGAAATCACAAGGGAGAGAAATTGGTAGGAAAAAAACAAAACATCTTGCTCTCTTCGGGGATGTGAAACCTCTGAGTTCAGAGCCCGCCCCCCCCGGCATACAAATGCCATCTGTCATTCCCTGATACTAGGCAATCTGGAATATAGCGTATAATTTTTCTTCCATCACAAATTTACAATGTTGAAAAGATCACCACAAAATCAGTGAAATGGGACTCGCCTCTAGAAAACACACTCTCTCTCTCTCTCTCTCAACCAATATAAAAAAAAAGCAGACTGCACCTGACTCCATACAATTATATTCCCACAAGCTTTATCTTCAATTGCTTTCAGTGAAGTAAGTGAAAGGTTACCAACGGACGTTCAACTCCACTTTAGATAAACAATAAGATGCATTCAGCTCCCACTGGTCTCAATTACAACAGTTAGCTTTTCTTGTATTTAAAGAGCACACTATCTCCTCCAAAGCCATAAAAAAGCAGGCCCCACAGTGCAAGTCGGTCATGCAATAATAAAGCAATTCACTATGCAGACTTTCAAACCAAGATGCTTGCTATGCATTTTCCTTCAATAATCATGGCATGTTGCAATAATTCTGTTTTTAAAAAATTAAGTACATTGATGCCAATTTTTTTAAATAGAGCTTTTCCAAGCAGGCAAGAAACCCATTTAAAAGCTACTTTGAGGTCCTTTTTATTGCAACATTTTGAAATTTGAAAGCCTGCATTAAATTATAGTAGGGTTGGAGCACGGCCTTAGCCATAACAATTCAGGAAATGTTCAAAGGATGGGGGTGGGGGAAAGGGTTGAAACAACCCATGCCTCTTGTATATTAAGTTACCAAGATCTGTATATGAATGTTTAATTTTCAATCTAGTCATACAAGCAGCAACTTACTTTGCTCAACCTACCTGGTCAAGTTAAAGCTTGCCGTATGTTATTCTAAATGGTTTCTCTTCATTCTAGAATTAATTTTATGAGCCACTTCAAGGATGCAGGTTGTAGCTGTACTGGT